CTTCCATAAGTTTTGGGGGTTTTTTTGCGGTACGCGGGCCTCTCACTGCTGTGGCCTCTCCCGTTGCAGAGCACAGGCTCCGGACGCGCAGGCTCAGCGGCCATGGCTCACGGGACCAGCCGCTCCGCGGCATGCGGGATCCTCCCAGACCGGAGCGCGAACCCGTGTCCCCTGCATCGGCAGGCGGACTCTCAACCACTGCGCCACCAGGGAAGCCCTTCCATAAGTTTTTTATTCTCCTTTTTGTTGAGGGAACGAAGGTGTGGTTATTTTAGATAATCTCTCAAGGCCATACAACCAACTGGCAGAGCTGGAGATGGCACTTAGATTTGTGTGACTTCAAAGCCAATGCTTTTTCCAGTACCCTAAACTATCTCCTCAATTAAATAAAAAGTTATGTGAAACAAAATATATATAGTATCAAAATATATGCAAACAAGTATTTCTCATTATCTTATATACCTATATATTTATCAAAATATTTATTCATCTTTGACCTTGCTATCTTCTCTTTAAGTGTCTTTCAGGTTAGACACGTTTAAAGCTACTGATGCAAGTTAAATCAATCACAAATTCATAGGTGATCTTAGAAAAAACAAATTGTACCTGAGCCAGCAGAAAAAAAAAATGTGTTGCTTATGTGAGTGAGAAATGAGTGAATGAAACAGTGAGGTGATTGGTTTTCTGTCAAATTTCTAATACATAAAACAGCAAGTTTTTAAAAAAGTATGTGAGTCAGTCAAGATATTGATTGACCTATCCAAAGAGAAATGTACAAGGGCATGGACTAATCATTTCATGCACTAGATAGACAACTATGCACTTGTATACCAGTAAATTTTATTTATAAATAGCGAGAGCACCACACCCTTACTTAATGTTCTCGTGGATCCAAGCTAAAGGGAATAAAACTTCCACATGGAAGTCACAGGATCAGATTCATACCTTGTATTTCTGACTCAGAATTGTAACTACCTAAGAGCTCTTTTATAATCTAAGTGAAAAATAATTTAGGGTCACTTTTCCAGTCTGTGTGTGCTTGTGTGCATGTGTTTTTAGCTGAACAGGTGTGGTCAGCAGTACGCTTGTTTAACATAGGACTGTAGTCATGCACACCTATGGAATTTGGCTTACATAATAAAGCAATATAACAGACAATCTCCAACCAGCCTTCGAGATAAATAGAGAAGAGTCATCGGGCTACAAGCTGATGTTGGCAATACATACAACATTGATTTATAAAAGAAAGAGGATTAATTGGTTCAATGTCTCTGATTCTAATGATAGCTTCAAAGAAAAATGATGAGAACACTGTATCCTTATAGAATTATCACTCCTAGTCAGTCAGTCCTAATTCATATTGAATGGAGTCACTGAGGCCATTCATTAGGTTTCTGTACAACTTGTGGGGTGCAAAGAACAGTTTTAGTAAACTGTTAAATGGTAACTTTAAACTGTTAAATAGTAAACTTTAATAAATGGTAAAGATTTACATAAAGTTCTAAGAAATAAAAATGTTAGGAAAACACAAATTTGAAATTCACAATTAGGAAACAAGATTTGGTAACTGGTTTTAATTTTTAAATTTTTGAACTTTAAAAAGAAGTGGAAAAAAGCCTATTTCACAGGTAAAAATGTTGATAATAAGATACTGGCTCAGTCTTTACCATATAGTTATTGACCTCTGGTCAGAGAAGACTTATTCAGGTTTAACATCGGAAATTCAGTGGTTAATAATAATAATATTTTAATAATGATAATAGTAGTACAAATACTTTTTATAACAACAATAATAGCAGTAATAATAGTAATATGAATAATGATAATTAAAATGTATCAAGTGCTTCCTATGTTCTTCCTTTGTGTCATTTAATTTTTCCACCAAGCCACATGGAGTAGACAGCATTATTATACCACTTTAAGGAAATGTTTTAGTGGCAAATCACAGGCAATATCTGTTCTTGAAGAATTGGCCATGTGTGTGCCTTTCTGGAAAGAACAGGTAAGCAGCTTGAAAGATTTGGCCATGGTCCTCCCTTCCTTGAATCATAAACCAAAGATAATTCAGAGGTAACTTATTCAAACTATTAGTCTTTTCAGAACACTTTGCAGCTAAATGGATAAGACCTTTTAGCTCTCCACATTTTTCAAGGTACTTTTGTTACACTGCATCTGAAATTTGAACTAAACCCCTTGAGGTAGGTGAGCACTGCTATCAATACATGGAAGAAAACATTGCTTAGTGATCAAGAGCTATGGTGTCAGACTTTGCTGTATCCTGACTTGTTTGCATATTACCTCTGTGAATTCAAACAAGTGATTCAACCTGTTGCTCCGTTTTCCATTATGAAAATAATAAGAGTGATCACATCATGAGTTTGATATGAAGACTAAACGAAATAATGCAGGTAAGTCTTTTAGAACATAGTATAAGCTATACGCATATTAACTCTCGTTAAACCTATTTTACAGGTGAACGACCTGAGGCCGAGTCCAATGTCCAAAAAAGTGAGTGTCAGGCTAAGAATCCATTACCATAACATTAAGTTCAACATTGTTGCTCCTTCCCAACCCCTATGTCAGTAGTTCCCAAACTTGACTTTTGGATCTCGTGGCAAGCCAAAAAATTATTTCAAGGGATCCTTAAGCTCATATAAAATAATAATAATAGCACCTAACATTTATTAAGCATGTACTATGTGTTAAGCACTGGACTAAATCTCTTACATAGATTATCTCATTTAATTCTCAAAACCCTATTTGATAGACATTATTAGTTTATCCCTTTACAGATGAGGAAGTTAAAGCCAAGAATATTTAAGTGATCAAATAACTGCCCAAGGACACACCGAAAGTAAATTCCTGAGCCAGGAATCAAATTCAGAAAATATGGCTTCAAAGCTCAAATCCTAACATTCACTTTCACCTACTGACTAATTTAAGTAAACAGATAGCGTTTCACCCCTAGAGTTCATCACCCTCAAAAGCTGGACACACTACACTGCCCTTCACTATCCCACCATCACAAACCCCAATGTTTTTTGTAACTATACCTTTTCACGTTTGCAACATGGACAACTTAAAGAACCTACTTTCTCTCTTTGCTCTGGAGCATTTAAGATAAACTACCACAATATACCCAAGAGTAGGTTCATTAAATGGAATTACTCTCCTTCATGCCTCCAATTAGAAGGACTTCCCTCATATAAAATGTGAAAATGCTATGTTTTTTTTTATTTTTAAGGGTTTTTTTTTTGCATTTATATTTCTAAACTTCATTAAACATGTACAATTTATGCTTCTTTATTTTGATTTTAGGTCGTAACATCAAGAAACAAAATATACGTAGACATATTAACTTTATTTAATTCCTATTTAAATATATATGTTAGATTAGATGATATCCAAGATCCTGGTACTAAGATTTAATACCTCATTATTTTAATTTAGATTTTTTAAAAATTGGAAATATATTTACATGGTTCAGAAATTTTAAGGTACCAAAATATATTAACTTAATGAAGAATCTTCCCCCATTCCTTTCTTCTAGTCACACAATTCACTTTCCCACAGGCAACCACGTGTAAGGATCTTGTTTATATTTCTGAATACATTTACATACATGTAAAATTATTTGTACATTTATATACATATAACTCCCCTTCTTCATTTTTATACTTATACGCCTTGTATGGTAGCATACTTCACAGATTCTCCTGTTTCAAGTTTTATTCTCTTTCTCTCTTTTCCCCTCTCTCTCTCTCTCTGTTTAATATATACACACATGATGCAGCAAGCTCAAATATATATGTATTTTTTATAAATGCTCCATACTGGTATTAAAAACTTTGCTCTTTCCATTGGTAAATGCATATTCTACTTTGTGAGTGAACCACAAAATTTAAGCAGTTCCCTATTAATGGCTATTAGGTTGTTTTCAGTCATTCCATTACAAATGACTAATTTTGCATATACATCAGTTTGCACACGTGTGAGCCTGTCATTTGTGTAGCACAAATTCTTTGGAGTGGAATGCTGGGTCAAAGGGTATGAGTATTTGTAATTTGATAAGTATCACTGAATTGTCTTCCAAAGAGCCTGTCTCAACTTATAATTATTACTCAATTATGAAAGTGTCTCTTTCAGTTTTCCATTAACACTGGAGAGAATATTAGCATCTATGTTTCATGACTAAATAAGGTTACACAATGCACATTCCGAGGATGTTGGTGGGTTGCTCAGCACCAAAGTTAAACAATATAACCCTTGATTTAAAAGAATAAAACCATGCCCATTAAAACAATAGTGATGAGAATTATGTTTTTTAACAGTTATCTAAGATTCAAAATCATAAATATGAATGCAAAAGTTCAGTGTTCTTGGAAGATAAGTTTTAATCCTAACAGGTCAAATTAAACATATTTTTCAGTTGTAGAAAAATCTGAATTACATTAATGATTTTATTTCTATAGAATTATTAACTCTTGCAAGTAATTAACAAAACATCCTAGTCGCAATTTTCACTTTAACAGCCTAAAAAGAAAAATCTCAAATGGCAGAGACTCTGCCAAGAACTTTTTGTAAAGTCACTTCTACCACTTGTTGAGAAACAACTACTTTCTTTATAAACATCATGCAATGCAATTTGTCCAACCACTTTATGAAGGTTAACAGTATCAACCCAAATTTAGAGACCAAAATACTGAGACTCAACAATATTAACTAGCTCAAGGTGACACAACAAATAAGTACTGGCAAGTAAGTGAATGGGTAAAAATTTCCCACAAATACTAGTCACAAAATAAATAGACAAAAACATTGTTGAATCAATGAATTAAATATGCAACAGATGTTTAATCCTGCTATAGCTACCTAAAGCAAATATCTTACCTCAAAAGCAAATGACAAAGAAGGGATGAAAGACTTCAGATGACCCAATCTACACAGCATTAGGAACACCAAGCAACGGAAAGTTTCCAGAACAGCTGCCTTAGGTCTGAAATAAAATGTCATTTACATGCATTAGCTTTATTTTGTTTTGTTTTGGGGGTTTTTTGCGGTACGCGGGCCTCTCACTGTTGTGGCCTCTCCCGTTGCGGAGCACAGGCTCTGGACGCGCAGGCTCAGCGGCCATGGCTCACGGGCCCAGCCGCTCCACGGAATGTGGGATCTTCCCGGACCCGGGCACGAACCCGTGTCCACTGCATCGGCAGGCAGACTCTCAACCACTGTGCCACCAGGGAAGCCCTACATGCATTAGCTTTAAATATGTTCTTTATTACCCGGTATAATTAATAGAGTGATATACACTTAATTTTCAAGAAACACATAGTATTTTAATATATTTGAGGAGCATGTGCCTCTGAAGCTGCTTGAAAAAAGGCATTAAACTAAGAAACAAAATGCATCTTTTAAAGAAAATCTATTCTTTATCAATTTATTGCTTAGTCTGAGAATTGCTGAATTAGGGTGAAACATTTTCAACTAATAAATAAAATATTAGACAACTAAATTTCTAGGGTTTCAAGACTAGACTCCCCTCACTGACCCAATACTTTCAAACTTCATTCATTTAATAAATGACTTCTTAGGAGGACTGACATAGTTAACGACAGTACTCTAAAACAATGAACGCTCGAATTATGAAATATTGGGAACATGACCATGTGTAATTAAGTCTAACATGATAGGCAGCATAGACCTTTATTAATTATTTTGTGATGAATATTTTCGTTATATATAGTATTCTTGAAATTCAAACTCTAACATATAAAATAGGTATATGTATTTAAAATGGAGTTGAGGGTCACACAGATAGGCATTTATAAATTGCCTTATAATAACAGGAATGAACAGCTACTTTATCAGATTAAAATACACTTCATATAATAGTCAACCAACATTTATTGTATAATTAAATATTTTCATAAAAGACAAATGGTATTTTTATGTAAGATGAATTTTCTAATAAAATATTATTGAATTAATGTCATTATAATAAAGTTATATTTTATTTAGAATATAGAGGTAAAGAAAAAAGTATAAAAAATCTAAAAGTGTATTTATGAAGCTTAAAAAATTCTTCTGCCATCAATTATGACATGTTGTGGACTTCCCTGGTGATGCAACTGTTAAGAATCCGCCTGCCAATGCAGGGGACACGGGTTGGAGCACTGGTCCAGGAAGATCCCACATGCCATGGAGCAACTAAGCCGGTGCGCCACAACTACTGAGCCTGCGCTCTAGAGCCCACGAGCCACAACTACTGAAGCCTGTGCACCCAGAGCCCGTGCTCTGCCACAAAAGAGAAGACACCACAATGAGAAGCCTGCTCACCACACCGAAGAGTGGCGCCCGCTCGCCACAACTAGAGAAAAGCCTGTGCGCAGCAATGAAGACCCAATGCAGTCCAAAATAAATAAATAATAATAATAAAAAAATTATGACATGTTGTTTCTATAAAATTGAATATAACATTTTTTGCAAAAATAGACAACACATTCCTACCAAATAATTTAAACTCAGTTAAAACAGGGTGACAGTTTATGATTCATTTGTATCCAAGTAATGTGATTTTTGTGTATGTGAAAAAAGTGTTAAGAAATTTTGTTCCCTTGTAAAATAATCTTATTTCATTACTGTAAACTATTATTTTTGAAATTGATATTTGGGTAATTTTCAGTGATAAAACAGAAAATAAAATTTCTAATTTAAAACACATTTATTTTTATTAATTCTGTTCTATCGTTTACTGTTTAACTTTATATTGTGAAATGAAACATACATAGGGAGAAGTACACAAAACAGAAATATGCAGCTCAATGATTTTCAACAAATAAACAACCATACAACCACTACTCAATAGTAGCCCCCCCAAAGACATCTCACCTCCTCAATACTTCCACCCTCCCTCTGTTGCAAAAAGAATCACAACCTGTTAGTTTATCATTTATGCTAATCATACCATTTCTAGCTCTCTTTTACTTATATTTTTATTGCTTTAGCATAAATTTCTAAAAACTGTTCTTTACTCATCTTTTTTTTTACTTTTTGTAAATGAAATTATATTGTGTGCACCTTTTTGTATTTAGCATCTTTCAATCAGTGTTGTTAGTGAGATACATCTACGATTCTGCATGCAGCAGTAGGTCATTCTTCACTCGTGCATAGTATTCCATTGTGCGAACCTACGAATATTCATGCATCCATTCACCTTGTGAAGGACATTTGGATTGTTGGCCACATTTGTTTATTAGGAACAATGCTTTCTGAACATTCTTTCACGTGGTTTTGGGGTGCATTGTTAGCATATATCTGGAATTGAATGGCCAGGTTATAGGGTATGTGTGTGTGTGTGTGTGTGTATATATATATATACACACACAAACACACACACATATATTCAAATTTAGTAAAATTCTCAGTTTTTCAAATTAGGTATCACAATGTAAACTGCCTCCTTTAGGGTGTGAGCATTCCAACAGGTGGTATTGTCAATTCTTTTAATTTTAGCCATTTGTGATACAAGGTCTTTGTTGCTTATAAAAATTGGCAAATACCATCTCCTACCTGAGAATTTTACTTTTGTACTGTCTTAATAAGAGTGAATTTTTGAAGAACTTTCGTAATATTATTCTAATCTAATTCGTAATATTCGTAATATTTCGTAATATTATTCTAATCTAATTCATCAGTTTTATCTATGTGATTAGGGATTTCTGTGAACCATTTAATATTTTTACCTACTCCAAGGTTATAGAGATATGTTACTATACTATCTGCTGGAATCTGTACTGGCTTTCCTCTCACTTTTAAATCTGCAATCCCCTGACCCCAGAATTAATTTTTTTATGGTGTGAAATATTTGTCAAGTTTATTTTTCTTATTCCTACGTGGAAATTCAGTTTTACTAAGACCATTTATTGAAAAGATAGCATTTTCCCGTAGCTCTGCAGGGACACCTTTATCACAAATCAAGTCCATATATATGCATAGATCTGTTTCTAGGATCTCTGCTCTAATCTTTGTGCCAATAAAACATGTCTAATTACTGTAGCTTTATAATAAATCTTGATAGCCAGTAACTCAACTCCTGCCATTGTAAAAAAATCTCAAGATTGTGCTGGCTATTATTGGGCCTTTGCATTTCCATATACGTGTATTTTAGAAAGGTCCTGTCAAATTCCACAAAGAAGACACCTTTTATAATTTTAATTCAAATTGCACTGAATATGTAAATCAATTGCTGAAATTATAATCTTTACAATATTGAGGATTCTAATTTATGAAGTTATCTCTCCAATTTTAAAAATTCTTTATTTTTCACAGTATTTCAATAGTTCTATAGTGTAGTTTAGAGATTTTGTACTCATTTTTTTAGGATTGGTTTTTCTTGGTATTTGATATATTTGATGCTATTGCATAAAGTTTTATATTTCCCAGTACATAAAAATATCGTTGATGATAATTTCTTTAAAACTTTTCTGAAACTCATCCATTAATTTGAATAAATTCCCTATAGATTCCTTAGATATTCTAATTAATTCACTAATTAGCTTTTAGATTAACATAAATTAATTTTCTAATTAATTTATTAATTCCTTTCAAATCCTTATGGCTTTTCTCTTTCCTTTCTCCACTGACAGTTTCCAGCCCATTAATTAAATAATGAGCATATCTAACTGCTTCTCAGTTTCAAAGGAAAATTTTCAACATTTCACTATCTCAAATGTGAAGCTTGCTATAGAAATTTGTATAAACAGTTTTTACTTCACCTACATTTTTGCTGGATATAGAATTACAGGTTAGCAGTAATTTTCTTTCAGCACTTTAAAAATATCATTTCATTCTCTTCTGGCTTCCTTTGCACAATGACATACCTATATCTCAGTATGAGGTCCTAAATAAGGCCAGAGGCAGGGGAGACTTTATATAAATATATACAATAAGAATAACTTAATGTATCATAGGACATATTGTGATAAAATCAATAGCTTGCTTATTTGGCCTATTTATTTGTATCCATGGAAACAAAAAAATCATCATTAAAAACATAAAACTATGCTATTGTTATGGGCTGATTGATAATTTTACTACATATATGGAACCAACATATATGTAGTATATGTTGTATATGTGTAGTATATGTGAACTTTAAAATGTGATCCTGATTCTTTGGATCTGGCTAATTATTTCAGATTATCTTGTGACTCAGTTTTTCATTTTCTCTTCTTATGGCTTAGTATGCATTTTATTTCTAATATAGAAAAGTAGGGATGGATGGAAAGCCAAACAAGTTAAATGATAAAATAAACACAATTTTTAAACTATGGAAGGAAATACGTTTAAAATTCTACACACTGTTTACATATGACTATGTGAAGTGTGCCAGCTGCATCACTCTACCAAATGTTTATAGCAAAGGCATATTGTACACAGTTCCATTAACCATTTGGACTTGCATCTTGATGAAACTTCAGAATCTACTGGTATTCCAGAGCAGCTATTAAGCATTTCTTAGGAAAGTGACATGATATTCAATATAGATTAAATGTATGTTTACTGGACTTTGACATTTAAAATTTCCTGAAAGTAATCTGGTTATTGGTTACCTACTTGAAAAACAATTACACTACAACGATGATAAGATTTCAAGAATGACTGAGCTTTTTTGCCGTTTTTCACAGTTACATGTAAATTCTATAATACGTGAATTCTGGGGTCATATTGCTTGGGTTTGTGTTCTATCTCTTAGTGTTCTTCTGTCTGACTTTCATAACCTGTAAAATGGAGTTTATAGTAATTCTTATCTTAAAGTGTTACAAGAAATAATTAAGCATTCTGTGGCACATAGTAAGTACATAAGTATTGGTATTAGTATTAATTTTAATGATTGATAAATTTTAAGCAATAACAAGTGGGTGTTTTGCTATATACCTTCAGCCATAAAAGCAATTTAAAATTGTTCAAGTGAATGTATTTTCTGGCCAGAGTAGTATTTGAAACTGGATTCATTAAATACTATGCTGTGTGAGGGTAAAGGACATAAACTTTAAATACGCAGTTGGCCCTCCATATTCATGGGTTCTGCATCTCAGATTCAACCAACTACAGATGAAAACATACTTTTAAAAAATTCCAGAAAGTTCCAAAAAGTAAAACTTGAATTTCCCACTGCCAGCAACTATTTACATAGCATTTATATTGTATTTACAACTATTTACATAGCACATACATTGTATGAAGTATTATAAGTAATTTAGATAGATGATTTAAATTTATGGGAGCATGTACATAGGTTCTGTGCAAATACTATGCCATTTTACATAAGGGACTTGAGCATCTGCAGATTTTGGTATGGGGGTGAGCGGGGCTAGGTCCTGGAACCAATCTCTTGCCAATACCGAGAGACAACTATATATACACTTAGGTGTATATTCTGAACTGTTCAATAGCAAAGGAAAAATAAATAATTTTTAGGTTTTATTACATACTCAGAGTTATACTCTATGTTTTGCTGACTTAATCATTATATTTTATAAGTTTTCTTAATATACTTGAAAAACCTAAATTTCACTTAAAGGGCTTAGATTTAAAATGGACTTTTGATTTAAAACCAGACAAACCACTACTCTGTCTCATTTAAAATGAAGGTGTGAATTTGTAGTTTCAACTTTATGTTTTTAATAACAAACATTTGCTGAATTTCAAAATTTCACATATATTTTAAAAACCACATTATAAAGTTACATAAAATGAAAGAATTTCACTTCTTACCTTTGATCCAGAAGAAATCCAATGGAGGTCAAGGTCAGGATAATGAAGCAAGCCCTCAGAAGGAGAGTGACCTGTGAGAGTACCTGTCAAAGAAACACAGAGACCAATGGATCTTTAGGTGAGTCATCCAAAGGAGCATCAGAATTTAAAGCTGACAAGAATAACAGACTCAATTTTATTTTATGTTATACCATTTGTTACTGACATTTTTCAAGAAGGTTGAATATGCAGAGAACATTTTGGTTTTCCTAATGTCATTTAGTTATCTTGTTGGACACTTGGAGAATGAATTAGACAATTCTAATGATGTTTTGCTTAAAGTGTTCTTTCTAATAATTCTCCTTTGAAGTTTTGGCTTTCGTAATTCTTTGAAACACATCTCCACATATGGAGAAATCACTTACATTTTTATGAATAAATATCACATTTCAATGGTTATTTTTAATTTTCAAAAGTGTCTTTAATAAAGAAAATACTTAAAGGAGAATGTGTTATGAGTGCAAACACATACATGAAAGAAATTATACACATCCACTCACATTTTTATTTGATGAAATCTGTATGTTCCTCTGTACATGTCAAGCGTCCTTTTTTGAATTAGTAACAAAAACCACATATTTCTTTGTTATAATTATAAATTAATTATGCATTTTGTTTACACATAAAAATTTAATAATAATGTTTATTGAGCATCTACTATTTTATAGCTTCCATGCTATGTGTTTCACACATGCTAATTCTTTTCATATTCCCAACGAACTTGCAAAGTAGGTATCATCATATATGTCTCATATATGAAAAAACAAACCTGGAATCAAAAGATGAAGTAACTTTTCCATCATCACACAGAAATAAATGATGCCTCTGAAATTCAAAACAGACCTACCTGACCCTTAAGTGTGACAATGGTAGAACACATATGAGCAACAAACTTAAAGGGGTCAGAAGCAGAGATCTATACTGAAGTTACATATCTCATGTTAGGGCCAGATGGCTACCACTTCAGATTGAGAGTGGATCATAAAAGCAAGGAGTTGGATGCACAGCCAATGGACGATTTCCCTACTCACTGATGGTATGTATGTTTCACCTTTATGAGAACACCAAAGGTTCTTTTATGTTGGCTAAAATAGTGATTGAACGCTCTCTCTTTTTTCTTTTTCCTGAAATAACTAGAGGTAATTTCAAGTCATTACTAACTAATATACACACCTACAACTAAGTAGCATCTATCCAAAGTTATAAACAAAAGTTACCAACTGCAATTGCTACTCACATCCAAGATCTCAGTTCGATATCATCTTCTAAATCAGCGCAGTCTCTCATGGCCAACTTTTAACACCTCCCTAGTTACTTTCTAAATGCCTACAATGGCACCCAGAATTGCCAAGGGGCTTTAACCCTCCAGGGCAATAGTTTAGTAGAAGAGTATTGTTGAGTGGTGGTGCAGTGGTTGAGAGTCCGCCTGCCGATGCAGGGGACATGGATTCGTGCCCCGGTCCGGGAAGATCCCACAGTGGAGCGGCTGGGCCTGTGAGCCATGGCCGCTGAGCCTGCGCGTCCGGAGCCTGTGCTCCGCAACGGGAGAGGCCACAACAGTGAGAGGCCCGCGTACTGCAAGAAAACAAACAAACAAACAAAAAACAAAACTGAATAAAAAGTGTCAGAATGTTTAGGAATATGGAGACAGTGCTCGATATCAGATATAGGATGAGGAGTTCAGTGAACTCCAGAACGTTTGAATGGAGAGCAGGAGAGTACTATTTGGGTATGTGGAATTCCATGGTGGCCACTTTGGGACAGTAAAGCAGAAAAACAAAAACAAAAACAAAACAAAACAAAAAACACACCAGAAAAATATTTTCTTGGTGCTAGAAGTAACTAGGTGTGCTTGAGTAGATTAATGTTTGCTTAGGGGAACTATTTTGTCTCTAAAGAAAATGCTTCTTACACCACTATTGCTTCTTTTTGATCTTTTAGGGAAAAATTCATATGGAAGGGAGAAATGATTTGTGCCCCAAACCTACAGCATGATTTTAAATGCTCTATAAGAATGCAGCGCTTGAAATTATTTGAACCTATTAGCCATGTAACCAGTCAAATTGTTCAGCATTTCTAAGTCTCTCTTACGTGTTCAGTACATCTGAAATAAAATATGAGTTTGGCAAAGACTATAATAAAGTACTTAGAAGAGTGCTTGGCATAAAGTAAGAAGTCAATTCGTGATATGATTATCATCATTGTTATTATATTCAGGCTATACTAATTTTCTAAATGGCTCTTAGGCTAATCTTAATTACTTACAATAAGTTAAGGAAGCACAAATAAAAGGTTTATTAGCTCTTTCAAATATCATAGGAAATTCAGAGACAGGACAAAATATATTTTTTGTTTTGGTTAGGGAATTTATGATCCCTGGACAAAAAAAGAATAAAGAACTCCTCTCTCCACAAATTGCTTCCCAGCTAATGGCGTCTGAGTGAAAACCAACTTAATACAGCTATCTGGCTGCCTAGTGAAGCTTCTACTTGGCTATTACACATCTGAAACTTAGCCTGCCTAAAACCCTGTATCTGATTTCCTTCTCCACACCACACGCTCCCCACTCTTCGTTTTAGGGATGGTACCCACAGTTTTTCATTTGCTCAAGCCCAAAACCCATAACTCATCCTTGACTCTTTCTCTCACTATCTACTTCTAATACGTCAGCACAATATTTGAAATACATCCAGAATAAAGATATTTGCTACAAACAGCACACACACACAATACCATGTTTCACCCCCAACATTATCTCTACTATATTAAAATACCCTCCTAACTGGTCTCTCTGATTCTAAATTGTGTATCCACCTATCCTGGCTTCCCTCCCCTGGTATGTAGCCAGAGCTATCTCTTTAAAACTAAGTCATATTATATCATTCTTATGTTCTAAATCCCCCAGGAGCTTGAAACCTCAGTAAGAATAAAGCTCAGAGTCCTTACTCTGGCCTCTACACAACATACCCACTATTATCATATAATTCCTGAATCATTTCTGTCTTTCATTCTTATGCTACATCAGAAATTTCGCTCTTCCTTGAATATGACAAACATCCTTCCCACTCAAATCTGTTTCATCTACTGTCTCTTAGGCTTGAAATGAGTTCCCACACTAACCCTTATGGTTTACTCCTTCATTCCATTCAGGTAACTACTGCATGTCCTTGTTCATCCTGTATAAAATATACTTCTCCACAATGCTCTATAACCTTATTCTGTTGTACTTTCCTCCATACAACTTATCATGCCCATACACTTATACATTTGCTTGCTTGTTCATTCTCTAGCTGTTTGTTGTCTGTCTTCTCGCACTCCCTAAGAGAGGTTTTACCTTTTTATTCACTATTATATCCCAAGTGCCTAGAACACTGCCCAGCACATAGTCAGTAGCTAATATGGTTTTAGAATGACTGACTGAATTATTGAATTATTTTACATTTGTGTTTATTATTCATACCTTTAATATAATTCTAATTGGCTTAATAAATAATTTAATATTACAACATTAATATTTAATTTAATATCAATATTTTAGTCCTTAAAATTAAAATTATTTAATAATTTAATATTAATATACTAAATGCTTGTGTTAAATATTTAAAACATTAAATACTTTAATATTTCTATGTTTAATTTCTTAAAGAACAAAATTGCCCTAAAACTGTTTGAGTTTAAAGGAAACTAAGATTACCAGAAGAAGAAATCCAATACTGAACACATGCTTCCTTTAGAGAGTCCGTTTTCCTATGAAACGCTTACGTTTTTCCATATTATATCCTTTGATAGGCTAATCAGTTGATCTTCTCTGACTTCTACACATTCATTCCATGAATATGTGTTGAGCATTTGCTAGGAACTGTGGTAAATAGGAGTTTAAGAGCGTGAGCAAGAAAGACAAAAGCCCTGCCTAGAAATCACACTACTTTAATCCCTGCTGGTGGGACCATAGTCCAGCTACACTAGAGCAAAAAGGAGGGAAAAATAGAATAGACTTTATAGACTTTGACCACTGTAAATACTTAGCCTCCTGTGTTTTAAACAAGATGTGAAATGACATGAAGCTTGTTAATTTTTTATAACAGTACAATTTCATTTTTCATTGGGTTTACTACCATTTTACACCATTCACTGCTAGTATATCTCTAATGTAAGATATTGCTGTCCTAAAGTGCTAAAATGGAATTATTCTAAATTAGGCTTTGAATATATTATAAGTCTTTATCACAAAAAATGAGAAGGTCCATAACTATAAAAAGCTTATGAAGCAAGGAATTAATAATTTTCCTCCTTTAAAATTATCTTTCAAATCCCAAGCAGTTTGGTAGCTCTTACTTCCATACGTTTCTCAGTGCGGGAATTGCTGTCCAGATTTTTACGCTTGAAAAAAGCAAACATCCCTGCAACTTTAAGTAGATGAGAAAAAATACTCATGAGGCAATGTTAACTACATAGGAACTCAAAAATTACATGTTTGATGCAATGTTGCTTAAACAATTAATGAAGGTGTGAGAAGTCCTCCCTTTGCCCACAGGTATATAAAGAAGAAAGCCTTTTTCTTCTTGAATGGGGATATCACCCTCTTACTATTCCACAGAAAAATTCTGGTGATCAACATAATTACCTTTCATGTTTTCCCACCCGACAAATCTCACAAAGGGAAATATCAGACCCATACACTATGTCCTAAAATAATAGTAAGTGTCTGTATATATACTTTTTTAAAGAACTTTGTGTATTGTCAGAGGTAATTTGATAATATTTTCCATAGTTTTATTCTAAGGATTTAGAAATGAAAATGTCTTGATTTTATTGTATCAGGGTTGTGCATTTTTAGGATTTTCTGAAAAGATCTACTAAAGTCATTATTTTGACTCAAAATGTTCATCTTCCCAAACATCTGTAAAATAAGGTCAAAATTTTCCTAATACTTAAGTGTCTGTAACCTCTGATGTGAAGGCAGAAAATTTGGTTTGGGGCACACTTGCTCTGCTACCTCATCGTCCCTGTGACTCTGATGGCTCCTTTTAGATACCTTGTGCTG